GCAGGGAAGCACCCTGGACAGGATGCCAGCCTATCACAGGGCAGGAGACACCCTGGACAGGATGCCAGCCTATCACAGGGCAGGGGACACCCTGGACAGGATGCCAACCTATCACCGGGCACAAACTCACAATCACAAGTAGATATTAACTGCAGAACATTCCACAGTTTTAATAAATAAACTTCAAACAAAGATGCAATGACTACAGAGATTTGCTCTAGTATGGTTCCATTAGCACAATCGGTTGCGACTGTTTTCTTTTCCTTCGCTGGGACATTGATCTATACATAATATTTGGATATTTAACTTGCGGAATAGCTTGGTCTAATGAGGCATTTTAGATCCACGGGCATCAAAGTCACTGTTTTCGCAAAGTCACAGTCACCACTAGCAGGCAACAGGAAATTCAAAGAGAATCAAATTAATAACAAAAAAATATGCCGGGGGAAAAAAATCCACGGACAGGCTCGTCAGACTGCTTGGAATGTAGTAGATATAAATATAATTATAAACAGCGAGAAGATTAAGGCGCAGTTCACTCCAAAATAAAAAAAAGATTTTTTTAGATGTGCTATACTGCTATTTATCCATCTATCTCAGGGGAGTCAAACTCCAGTCCTGGGGGGCCAGAGTCTCTCATTTAACACACCTGATTCAAATCCTTGCACATCCTTGTGCAAATTATCACACAGATCTTGAGCTGAATCATTTGTGGTGGAACAGGGAAAGAGCTAAGCTACACAGGGCTCTGGCCCCCCAGGACTTGGGTGTGACACCCCTGGTCTAGACTGTTGTGGTGAGAGTTGCCAAATTTTAAAGCATGTTCCTTATCTTTTATTATGAATCCACATGTGACTGAGGCCAATTCGCTCCACACGCAGAGGACGAGGACAAAACGTACAGTATACCTACTGAGGATTATAGTCCTATATCAGACAAACTCATTTTATGATATGGATCAGTAATTTTTTTAGTTGTGTTCAGTTGTGATACTGTACCCTAAACCGTGTTAGTCTTATTTTAAATAATGAGATCTTTGTTGCTTTAAAATGATTTAAAAATCTTTCTTAGATTGCATCCTTTCACAATGTCACTATTACATATGTGCCCATTGTGATGCCAGGGCAAACTTTTGACGGCACTGTCTATCAGCGATGTGTATTAATTATGCTGGTATCAATCCGTACATAAGGGAGAAATGATTCCCTTACGTTGCCTCCCCCATCTCCAGCTGAGCGAATCAGCTACAGTGTTATTTGAACCAGTCCTGCACTTCACTGAGAATTGAAATGGCTGTAGAGTCAGGTACCCTCTGGTGATATGCAAATTGGAATCACACACGTTATACAACCACTGTAATGCTTTATGGTCCGTCCCTAAAACAGAGTGTCGCGCTAAAAGATAATAGCGAAACTGCCCATTTCCCTGCCAGGCACCTGGTCTCCCGTGGTGACAACTTCCTGCTAATCAAGGCTACCGATTTCTACTCACCTTCCTCCCCCTGTAGTAAGGCAGCTCCCAGACCCACTCCTGAGCTACTGTCTGCTGGGTGAAAGGGCACTGGAGAACCACACAGAGCCTCCCTGGGATCCCCAAATGCTCGGTTACGACCTCTGCTCGTTCCACCCTACGAAACTCAGGAAAGATTTCACGTTCCTCTTACTGTTAGGGACTGGAAAGGACTGGATTGCTTCCAACTTCCCCACCTGTGGATAAATAAGCCCACCTGGAGGTTGATGGAGAGGCCAGCAGACTGGGTCCACTGAAGCATCTGTTGGATCTGGGCTAAATGATCCTCCCAGAATTCACTAAAATTGATCACACTGTCCAGGTATGCTGCTGCAAACACCTTCTCCATTAGTTTCTGGAATGTTGCTGGTGTCCCTGAAGACCAAACGGCATGACAGTAAACTGATCTAATCCGAAAGCTGTCAACTCCTTTGTCTCTGGACCCAGTGACACCTGCTAATTACCGTGACATTGATCCAGGGGTGATATGTACTTGGCTTTGCCTATCCTCTCAGTGAGATCATTAACGTAAGGCATTGAATAAGGGTCCAAACAGGAGATGGCATTGATCAGCCTAAAGTCAATGCAGAATCAAACGGCGCCATCCTTTTTGGTACTAGCACAACTGGACTGCACCACTTGGTGGTTTGGGCTCAGTCACCTTCATTTCCTCCATCACCTCTAATTCCTCCTTCAGGACTGGCAGCAGTCGTGCTGATATCCTGTAAACTTTCTGCCGCACAGAAGCATCCTCTTTCACATGAATCTTGTGTCTAAGCAGGATAGTGTAGCTCTTGTCCTGGAAGAGCTCTGGGTCAAGGGACTTCCGTAACTTCTCGTGTTCGGCTTGTGACAGATGGGATAGGTCCACTAGCTGAAACTTCACTTTTATGGGGTTTAACTGCTCTGGGACGTCCTCTTGCTCTCCCAGAGCCAGTTGCTGTTGCACTAGCTCTGGACGTTGCTTGTATTCTCTTAAAAGGTTCACGTGGAACTGCTAGTGATTTTTACTTCTCTTACAGTTCATATGACACCGGCCCCATTGGCTTTGTGATCTTATACGGGTCGTGCCATTTTGCCAAGAGTTTTCTGTCGTGGGTGGGTGACACTCAGGGACGGCCCTGGGTGGACCGACACTCGAGATTCTACTGAGGCACCCCCCCCCCCAGAGCAACAGAAAACAAATTTTGTCTATTCATTTATATTAAAAACATCTCAGTAGCACAGCGTATCAGGCTGCTAACAAACTAGCTCACATCCGCTTTGCAAGTAAAGTAGTGAAATATTATAACTGTAATGTCACAGAATGCAACCAGAGGTATTCAGATTATTTTTTCACTCACTTTCTTGTGCCCCTAATAAAATGGGGCCTCCTCTCGTTTGTATAGTTCTTATGTTCTTATGTTCTTATGTTCTTATGTTCTTATGTTCTTATCACCTATCTTGCCTTTTGGGTGGATCGGCTCTGGTAACAGCAGTCGCACCTCTTGTCCCTGGGTGAAGATTCTGGCCATAGCTTTGTTGTCATACTAGACTTTCTGATTGCGATGGGCCTTCTTAATGTTCATGGGCCAGGGCAGTCATCTCCTCCATCTTCTCCCTCATCTTCACTACATACAGTATGCCACCGCATTTCCTCCAGATGACTTTGCAATGGCTTTATGGTCCTGGGTTTGGGCCCTATATACATGGGAATGGCCGTAGCGCTCATCGGATGCATTGGCTACTGTGTTCCCTGAACGAGAACCGCTGTCGCATTTTCTCGGTAAGAGAGTTCAGTCACAGGAGAATGAAAGTAGACATTCACATGAGCACTCTGTACTCTTCTGCCTTTGGCACATTTAGAGAGGTGTGTGCATTCCAGGGATGTCGGAAATAGGGGGAACACATCCACCCCAATATCGGCAGAACCCCGCCCCCTTCCTTCCCATTTAATAAATAAATACAGAATCAACAGCGCATTCCTTATCTTTCATTATGAATCCATGCATTACCGAAGCCAATTCAGAGCGCAAGGACGAAACCTAACGAAGACTGCAGTCATGTATCAGTCAAAATAATTTTATCATATGGATCAGCTATTTCCAAGATATGCTGCAGTGCTATTTATCCATGTTTCCAATCTTCTTCTGGCATTAACCCTAAGGTTACAACCCTCTGGTCTAGGTCAGGGGTGAACAGGATCTTTGAGTGAGGTAAGCAAGACCGGTTTCCCCAACTAGTCTCCTATCGGTTGAGTCACGATCCAAACAAACACACACCGAGACTAAAATAGATCACATGCAGAGCTTTATTTACCGTATGAGACGGACTGTTATCCCAGCGAAGACTGATATCGATCACTAAGGAAGGGAGGCTGCATAGTGAATAAGGAATGAACAAAACAAAACTAGTGCTAATTCCCTATATGCCCCCCCCCCCCCCGCCCACCAAAGGCTAAGCTAACCCTCCAGAACATACATGGATTGGCACTCGCCTTCTAACCTGGTCTGCTTAACAGAAACTTCCTATGGGTCGTATGTATGGACAACCTTAGGGATTAATAAATCATTAATAAAACTGCACAGCATGATTTTTGGGGAATGACAGTCGATATTTTACTAGGTTAAACATGTAGCTACAAAAGAAAGCAGAGGATGCAAGGAGGACAGCATGGGAAAGCCAGTCGGCTCCGAGCGTATGGCTGAGTCATCAATATGCTAGAAGCCCCGCCCACCTCGTCAAAATAATCCCACGGAATTGGTCCAAATTCCAGGTTCCTCCTCGCAACAAGGAACACATAATTGGAGGGAAAACCCTGACAGCACTACAGCACCAAACACGCCTCTACAACACCAAACACGCCTCTACAGCACCAAACACGCCTCTACAGCACCAAACACGCCTCTACAACACCAAACACGCCTCTACAGCACCAAACACGCCTCTACAACACCAAACACGCCTCCCCCTTATTTACGTTCTGGAATTTAACACCCAGCACAAAAACTGTGCGCCGGGAGCTTCACGGAATGGGCTTCCATGGCCGAGCAGCTGCATGCAAGCCTCACATCACCTAGCGCAGTGCCAAGCGTCGGATGGAGTGCTGTAAAGTCCCTGACACTGGAGTCTGGAGCAGTGGAAACATGTTCTGTGGAGTGATGAATCAGGCTTCTCTGTCTGGCAGTCTGATGGATGAGTCTGGGTTTGGCAGATGCCAGGAAAACGTTACCTGCCCGACTGCATTGTGCCAACTGTACAGTTTGGTAGAGGAGGGATAATGGTATGGGGTTGTTTTTCAGGGACTGAGAAAGGCCTCTTAGTTCCAGTGAAGGGAACTCTTAATGCTTCAGCATGCCAACACATTTTGAACAATTCTATGCATCCAACTCTGTGAGAACAGTTTGGGGAAGGCCCTTTTCTGTTCCAGCATGACTGTGCTCCAGTGCACAAAGCAAGGCCCATAAAGACATGGTTGGGTGAGTCCGGTGTGGAAGAACTTAACTGACCCCTTGACCTCAACCCCTTAAAACACCTCTGGGATGAACTAGAATGGGGATTATGAGCCAGAACTTCATGTGTAACATCAGTGACTGACCTCAGAAATGCTCTTCTGAAGGAATGGGCAAAAATTCCCACAGACAGGAAAGCCTGGATTTAGAATGGGATGTCATGAAAGTCCCTATAGCTGTAATGGCCAGGTGTGCAAACACTTTTGTACATTTAGTGCACTTAGCTGTAAATGGGACACATTTGGCACAGGGACAGTTGCTGATTCAGTCCCTTTACTGGCATCATTTGTCTGATCATGGCCATGATTTTCAGCCCAGGGATAAATTCAGAAATCTCGCACACAATAGAAAAGAAAATCATTGATAATGTCCTGGAATAGTGTGTGCATCACTCCCTATCTGCTGTTACAAATAAAACCATTAACTGCTTATGGATATGATGATGAACAGCTTAATTACTGTCTAAAGGTTATAGTTCAGCTCTGCTGATGAGTTTTTCACTCTTCAGCATCTAGTTTGTGATGGAAAACTGGGTTGTTTGTAATCTTGTTTCCTCAAGAATAAATGTTCACATTATAACCACTGTAAGGCTATGGACTTAATGGTGATAGGATATCTGTTTACACAATGATATGAATGGTTTCAGTAGGTGAATTTCCTGATGTTCTAGGTTGAACAGACAGTTTGAAATGCAACCAAGGAGACCATGTTGAAAGCCTATATGGGCCCAACAGCAGTGGATCTGATTTATGGAACATTGTCCTGGTCAAAGTTCATGACTGAGGAACCATATTTGAGGATGCACACTTTATCCATGAATTTACCAACTAGCCATGGATGAAGCACACAGGCAGGATTACCAAACTAAAGGGGCTTTATTTCGCAAACTGAACAAAACAGGAAAACAAACCAGACACCGGGGGTCAAAAGGGAGGGTTAGGCACAAGCAACAGGATCACAAGACGTCAATGACGGAATTGGGCAGCACAGGACTGGGAAACACTTAAATACTGGATTAACAAGGGAGCAAACAGGAGGTAGCTGGGTATGATCAACATGAGAGCAGGAACGAGACGTAAGGCTATCGAGGGACAGGCATGACCAGGGAGGAGACAGGAGTTTCAGGCTGGGCAGGACATGACACAAACATTATGTTAATTATTATTAGTATATAGAATGTCACATTATGTCATTGTGCAGCATTATCACTCAAACCCTTTTATCGACACTTAAAATCTACACTTTGTTGCCAATTTATAAGTTTATAATTTGCTTCACTCTGTTTCACCCCTTTCCATTACTTTCTGTCAGTACAAATGTTGTGACCCCATATTCAGTGCTCACTCGAGGCTGAAGTACCACAAGACGTTCTACGTGGACACAGCTGATGATGCCTGGGACAGCCTCAGCGCCAGCGAGAGCCTGATTCACCCGGAGTTAGCTCCACTCAGACTCCAAGCGTAAGGGCACGTCTTACGGCTATCGCTTCACTATAATGCGATTCGTATCTTTGTCTGAGAATTCTGCCAAAATAGCTATGGGTTATTGAAGTTTTATACTTAGAAATCTGGACGTTTGCAGAAGCACATCAGATTCAGACCTATATGAAACAGACGCATGGAGGCTGGGGATGACAGGCAGGGTAGGCAATGGCCTGGGGCCCCAAGCTGAGAGGGGGGCTCCGAGGGGGGCCCCAAGGGGGGCTGACTACATAATACACTACAATGACAAATCTGCTTTATTTGTGTATTTCTGTTATTCACAGAAGTGAAAATAAAGGTCTTGTGTTATTTAAATTCTCTTTGTTGATATTATTAATTTAGACTTCATGCTAAAATGACGGTAATAAATTGTACAGTGTCAAGGGAGGGGGTTGGAGAGCCCACTGGAATTTTTTATTACTTATTTTTGCCTAGGTCCCCCAGAATCCTTAGAATCGCCTTTGATGCCTGAAACTCAGTCACTGCACATATTCCCTTTCACACTGCGGTTAGCGTGCCTGGGGCAGGGGGAAAGACAGCGCCCCCTGGAGCTCGCGAAAATTATGATGCTTTTGTTTTCCCGTCCTCAGGGTTCCCAGGTTTATTCATTCTTTTAAAGTGCGGGATTTTCTGTTTGGGATGCCGCAGTGTGAAACCCCCACGGCAATCCCCTACAGACAAAAGCATGCTTTAAGAAAAGACATGCAAGAACACAGAACATTAGCTTAAAACCAGAACGTTCCACAGTCTTTAGCGTTAGACCCCGAGGCTGTTTCAGATTTTAAGAACATTTTAGCGATTTGCCCGCACTGTTTCCAAGAGCTGTTTTACGAAACGAATCCAGGAGATTAAGGAGCAAAGCGTCGCCATTGGGGCAACAACTACTGGCATCTGTGCAATCCAGTGTAAGATTAAAAAAGTTCGGTATTCCGCGGGTGCTTCTCGCGGGTCTGGTCACGTGCTTTACAGCATTTTAATATATGCTCCATTGTGGACAAGAATCAAGGGCGTAGATTTGGGTATGGATGGTAGGGACATGTCCCTGGTAGATGCTTTTATTTTGAGTAAATTACTCACTTCATTACTGTAATGCACTCCTGTCTACAGCGGGTCCAGAAAGCCGCTGCCACAGTGTTAACACGTACGCACAGTCGCAGGGATCACATAACGCATACCTACTCTTAAATCCCTGCACTGGCTTCATGTGGCTTTTAGGATTGATTTTAAAGATCTTTTACTAATTTTTAAATATTTACATGCTCTTTTTCCGTGCTACCTCTGTCCCTACCGTCCATACCCATATCTAAACCCCTAGATAATTGTAAAACGATTTTCTAATATCAAACAGTGGGGCATGATATTTGTAGTACTGGCATCTATATTGCGATTCATCCTATTACTATTTTTTTCTTTTTACGTCGAATTGATTCAGGAAAAATAATTTATTTTTCAAATTGCGTGTCCTCTTCAAATATATAGAGCAACCATTACGTATTTTCTATGCCCTCGCGTCCATTTTCGGCTGCAAATAGTCCTGCCATATATTCCCCAGTAGCTACAGGAGTTCATCACTTTAAAACACAGTGTAAGTGAATGAAACCGCTTATATGACACCCAACACTACTACAGATAATACGATGCCTCGAAGCACTAGTGCCGTCACATGAACGCCAACAGCGCCCTCTAGCGAAATGAAACATGTTTCATGGCTCCTGTATATGAAGCAGGCCTAAGGCGGCAAGAATAATGCTAAATAGGCCTATTAAGAACGATTGTAGACAAACTGCAGTGTGAAAAGCCATGTTGTCTTTAATACGTGTTGTATGATTATGCCTCTTAATGATTTAAGTAATTTTGAGGGTTAATATAACATAATATAATATCGTAGCCCTGGAAGGACCTACGGGACAGCGCAGCGGTATTCTGAATCGGAGCCGAACGTAAGCAGTCTAAATATACCAATGTAATTATGTATTGCGTTATTACTGTACCGTACGTAACGTCATGTGTAGTGTTAATGTTAGCTGTTGTGCATAGTTGAGTGTGTGCGCCCACCGTGTGCAATGTGATCACAAGTAGTCAGTACGGCAGTGCGTGTTTATTTGTGTTGTTAAGTAATGACATATGTTACTAAACACCATTTTTAGGTTTTCCCGCACGTGAGTGTAGCTTGTGACTGATCTGCACAACTTGTCTAACACCCGCCTCCCAATAGAAAGTAATAAAATGAGCTTCTTCAGTTTATCTTGTGTAGTTCTACATCTTCCGTACCCTGTAAGCTGCGGGTTAAAAATCAGGACTGCTGAAACATAGATGTTCTGTGTCCCGGCGCCTGGATCACGAAGCTAGATTTTTGGGTTAGCAGGGAGTCTGGGCTAAACAAAAGTGAACGATGATAATCTATATAAACCCTTGTAATTTAAATCCAACAATTTATCTATAGCTAACCAACAAATCTCACTTTGTGATACAGCCGCTTGGACAATGGATGGGAGATGGTTGGGGTAGATGGTCCAGTCGTTTTAAGTTGATTTTTTGTCTTGCTGTCACAAACCATATAAATCTAGATAATTACTAGCATTAGTATTAGTGTATATTAATTTAATTTACAGGCACGAGCTAGTGATTAAGAGAGAATGAACGCGCGAGAGAGGGGTACGTGTGACGTCGCGGTAGGTAATGGCAGGGGGACCGAAAACCTTATCAGCAGCTGCCATTAATTAAAAGTAAATATTCCCCAGCCTTTGATCCATATAATCAAACATTTTTTATAAAAAGGAACTGTAATTGAATTACAGGGAAATTTAACTCTTACCGATAGTCATTTAGTGTCAATTAAATAAATAATAATGATCCCTTTAAGATTTCGGATATGTTTGTTAGTCTATTCAAAGGGGAATGCATGTTCATAATTACTAGTGTAAATGATCAATTAAAGTGTGACGCATCGACACATTAGCGTTAACTAGCTGGCTGCGCAGGCTTTGTATCAGGTACCAACGTTCAATTTGAGTGACTGCTCCCATATCCACCTTTTGCAGCGTGTTAATTCCGTGCCGCAACCTTTCCTCATTTTGCCTGTCACATGCCACATTTACAGCACCCTCTTCTTCCTTAACACAAATACCGCAGTTTATACTAAGATCATGACAAGGGATCGGACATGGCTGCATGTGTGCATTTCGTGTAAAGGTATGTACCTGTGTTTGCAAATGGTTCTTCCACTATTTGTTCGGGAGCACATGACCTGATTATTATCTGTACAAGACAAATGTAATAACGAAAGTAACTTGCACATAGCAACACAGTATTTAAGGTGCACGCAGTGTCTTGTATCAGAATTTTTGTATGTATGTTTATATATTAAATATATATATATTATCTATACTAACCTTATATAAATAATTTCCTGTTGCCTGGAAATATTGTGTTGTCTGTTTTCAGTTATACTTTGCGTCTTGTAATATTGTGCGTTAAGGTTGCAGTTTAACATGCCCTCAGCTTGTGCTCCAGACGTCGTGTTTGAGCTGAGGAGTGGCAGGTCTTTATATGTGTGTCTGGCCGTAGCCCAGTGACCCTGCAGGAGTGTGTGATGTGCGTGCGGAGACTGTCCACCACTGCTTCTCCGCGAGCCCAGACAATGGGGCAGCCACGGTGTAAGCCCCCCACCCCCCCTGTCCCAACATATGCCCATTTTCCCCGTCGGGTGCCTCAGGTGAACCTGAAGACCAACTTGGAGGTGAAATTTTGGCTGGGATACTGCTCGGCACTTGGAGGGAGATCTTTCGCCTTCTTGGAGAGAGTTCTCATAAATGATTTGTTTGGGGCACCAAAGAGAATGGATTCCCAGAATAGGAGGAGGAAACAGGGCCTTCGAAAAACTAGGGGAGCGGGATTAACCAAAAAAGCCAGTTTGGCTATAGTAAGGGTGGGGAGGGGGGAGGGGGGAGGAACAGCCAAGAAAAACAAGACAGGAGTTGGGACACAAGGGCTGGGCATGTGGTCTGGTCTGGCGGGGGCCCAGGGGTGAAAAGAAGACACTTATATTTTTGGATACTGGCTTGAGGCAAAGAGGCTTGTCACATGACCTCTCCCAAACCGGCGGGGTCATGTTTACCCCTCATCTTGTTTTGACTCTTCTGTCTTATTACAGGTTCAGCTGCTTTTTAAATATTTTTGAAAAACGTGCAAATAGTAGTGTTTTATTTTTTAGGACGGTGATTCTGTGACTGAAATTTGCTGTTGAGTGTAGAGACAAAGTAAATACACTACACCCACCATTAATGGCACAATGCATAGGATCACAGCAGCTCCTGCTCAGGGCATTGCATTTCCAGGATGGGCTAGTAGGTGAGAAAATGGTAAAATCCAAACCAGGATTTTGTTTCAGCCAACCAGTTGTGTATATAAACAGACCACTCAACTGGCTGGTTGAAACAAAATCTTGGTCCGGATTTTTACTTTCTGGACCTGACAGTGTCAAACCTCTGGCACACATGTGACATCACAGACAGGAGGAGGAGCCTGCTAACAAAAACCAAACAAACAGCAACAGAATGACTGACATTAATCACCATATTAACTTTGGTCACTGGGGGGCAATTGAATGGCGCTCAGTGATCTGCTGTAATTAGGGATATGCTGCAAATACAGACCTTCTAAGCCACCTAACCTAGTCTACTCAGTCTCATTCTTCAATGCGCTAGAAAAAATAGCTAATTTTCTTTCTGGGCCAGGGAACATTGCCGAAGCAGCGAGACTGCGGAAGCTGGTTTGGACCCAGTACTCGCTTGTGAGCGTGACTTCTCCAGCCTGCTCACCCTAAACGTCCTGCAGACCCAACTCTGAGCGCACTGGACTCATACAGGCCTACAGGTTCACAGCACGAAGACGTTCAAGGGGGAAACAGGCTATTAAAACAATATAAGAGTAATTGCTGGTTTTATTTGAGCACACTTTTTATTTCTTAAAGGCGCCCTGCTTGGGAAACTTCTGTCATTACCCAGAGGGCAACCTGAATGACGTGTACATCCTTATGGTAGCGAGGTAGATCTCACACCTCAAGGGCTATGGATTTGATCCCTCCTTCCATCTCAGGGCATGTGGGGTTTGTGTTAAAACAATACAAAACCGAGTATTTTATCTTTTGCTAAATGTTTTTGTCTTTTTGCATTTTCTTAATGTGTTTTGTCATGAGGGGGACTCTAGTGGAGGCAGAGCACCCCCTGCAGGGCACTCTGAGAAGTACAGCTCCCATGTCCTGCTACCGTTGTGCCAAAACACCCGTTTAGAGTATTCTGTCAGGAAACACAGCATCAGATATCACAGCAAAGTACATATACACTGCCATAACTATTAATAAGGCAGCGTTACTAGAAACAGAATCTACTTCTGCTTCGTTGAGCTCTTCGGTATTTTTCTATGTTAGTTGCCCCTCTCCCAGGTTTTCCTGCTCTTGCCCGTCCATCTCCCGCCATTTCTACCCGCCTCTCCCACCTGCTACACAGTGGATTCCAGCTGTGTGCCCCAGCTGTGTCAGAGGAACCCGGGGCAGAGTCAGGTGACGGAGGCCCGCTTTAAGGATCTGTAAGAAAGGTGGGACTTGAGTCATGCCTGGAGCCCCCCCCCCGGCTCCCCCCACGCATCCGCGGGCCAGTTCATCTGTCGCACAATGCCGGCGGCTGGCAGGTCGTGTGCCCGCAGCAGGGGTGCAAAGCTGCCGTCCTACAAGGTCATGCTCCTGTGGGCTCCCAAATTAATTTCCATTAGCGCCGTGGCTATTGTCTAGCGGCGGACATTGAGCTGCCTGAAGGCGGCGATGTGAGTCATGAGACGTGCCACCATACACTGATATTTACGGTAAAACTCTGGGGTCAGTAGCATGGAGACTCAAATTTAAGAGACATGTTTAAGTACCAGTAAATTGCATAGACACTTAACGTATGCTGGCTTAGTGGGTTGCACTGTTGTCTTGCACTTCCAGGATTGTGGGTTCCATTCCCAGTGCCATGTGCATGGAGTTTGCATGATCACATGCAGTTTAGTGAGTGTGTGTGACTGGATCTAATGATGTCTTTGTCATGTCTGCTTTGACATTCTTATCCAAAATGGTTGCTCTAGGATCCGTCTGACCCCACTTTCTCAAAAAAAGGTACGTGACTTTGGATAAAAGCATCTGCCAAATCAATCAAATGTCTAGTTAACTTTGCTGCTTGAGTGCAGAACTGAGCCTTGGCACCAATGACGATAAGGACCAAGTTAAAATGAGAGGCTGGGGGCAGCGAACAGAATCCCCAGCCGATACTCCGTGGCGACAGGTGGTCGTGTAACTGAACGGGGACCTGGGACCTCTGAGGTCCAGGTGTAGGGGGGGAGGGACGCTGGCACCGCAGCGCTTCGTGGCCCCCGCTGCCCCCGCTGCCGCATGCATATACATACATCATCTTGGCGGCCGCGGTTAATATGCCGCCGCTTCAATGGAGGAGTGGAGCGATCGCCGGCCGCTATTTGGGTCAGCCTTAATAGGAGCATCTGCGAAGAGGCTGGCTGTTTATCTGGGCTCCCATTAATTACAGCGTATCTCACACGCATAAACTCTCTCCATTTAGAGCGGGAGACTGAACGGATCTAATGACACTATGAAGATGATCAGAGCCGCGCTAATCTCCAGGTCCCGTGTGCGCCGACACCTTTATTTCGCGCAAATGAATGCATTAGGAGATTTGCATGCCTTACTGCGAAGCCCATTACACTCCCAATTACTCTGACTGACCGGCATGATTGCAGCCCCACCTGCGCCTGCCTGGTCCGTATATAAACAAAACAGGAGCCGCCTCTATATCCGTCACACCACACAGCTTGAGAGGTAGACGTCGGCAGCACCGCGAGAGCCGCGGCCTACAGTGTAATCGTTGTGATTATCACATTGCCATCTCCGAAGCTGATTGCCCTGCTAACCTGTGCTGGATGTACCACTGGACCAGGTGCTGGTTCTGGGTGCTGCTGGAGCCGGGTTTGCCGTCTGTGCAGCTCGGCACGAAGCGACCTGTATGTCACCATGACGTTATAACTTTAGAATCTAACAGACCTTCTCTACAGGGCAGACTCGGGCCCAGCTAACAGGGAACGTTCCCAGAATTTCCGTCAACTTTATGTGAAGGGCTGATCAAAGCTGGCAGAGAACATTCTTACTGTAACGTTAATGGACCGTTATTTCCAGATTTTACATTCTGACAAAGGTTCTGTCAATTTCTGCACAATAACATTATTACCCGAACATCCTTTTAACACAATTAATGTTGAAAAACAGTGTTTTATAATAAAATATTATTGTATAAAATTGCTATATGCTATAAGTATACACAGCGAATGTGCCGTCCAGCCCTGGATCCCTGACCTTTGCTGTGTAATGTGACAGTGTTACCTGCTGCCTCACCACGCCTTTCATTCAAGGATGTACCAAAGGGTGCACATCCTCAAAGTAACAGTAAGGAAGTCAGTCAGTCCACGCGACGCAGCTGCAGGGATCATGCCCCTGCGTAATTCCAGGTGCACCATCAGTGATTGGGTTCCAGACCCAGATCTGCTTCAGGGTCTCCCCCAATGAGCACTGCAGCATGTTCAGGATTCACTCTGCTGAGGTCTGTCCGGGCAGCGTTAGGCCTCCCCGGCGGAGGTCTGTCCGGGCAGCGTTAGGCCTCCCTGGCGGAGGTCTGTCCGGGCAGCGTTAGACCTCCCCGGTGGAGGTCTGTCTGAGCAGCGTTAGGCCTCCCCGGCGGAGGTCTGTCTGAGCAGCGTTAGGCCTCCCCGGCGGAGGTCTGTCCGGGCAGCATTAGGCCTCCCCGGCGGAGGTCTGTCTGGGCAGCATTAGGCCTCCCAGCACGTCTTACTTTTGCCTTCTCCATACTGTGCAGGGCATAAAAATGACGACAGGAAAAACAGAAAGACTAACTCAATCATAATCATATTTGCATCTGCTGCTGTATTCGCTGTTTTGGTTTAACACACCATAACAGCTGTAATATATATTAATGTAATAAATGCATTATGAAGCTGCAATGAATGTTTTATAAATGGATTATAAAGGCATTATGAAAGTGTAGTTAATGTAAAATGTTACCATTTATTTTTTCAGAAATATGTTCGATGTTAAATGTCTTCTGAAATAAAAAAATTAAATATTTGCATGGAAATACAACACAGTGATTTATAGATTTTTATATTTCAGATGCCAGATACTCACAGTGAGTCCCAATACTAAGGAAAAGGTCAGTTACTGTTGCCAGGCAGATTTTACGGTCATGTCTTGGTTATACTCGTACTGGGATGGTTGGCCACCCTGAGTGCTTTATAGTCCTGTGATGTCACAGACAGCAGCGTTTGATTGGGCAAGAACTTTGTGTTTGATCAGCATGTGAGAAAAGCAACAGCAAGGTGTGTGGGGAGAGGGTTAGTCTCCAGGTAGCTCTGATAACCAATGGGAAACAGTAATACTGATCATGTGACCCACTGACTTTATACATCTTTGGAAGTGGGAGCAATTTTTAAACGCAATGTTTGCATATAGTTTTATAGGTGGGAACAAACAGTAAAAGGGTTAATGCCATTTAACAATAACTACATGCTTCGTTAGCTTATAAAAATACTCTATTCAATAAAAATACTAATTTGTTTAAAAGTTCAAAGGTGTTGCACGGCAGGAGTGTTTATGTAAATCCCTCGCTCCCTCAGCAGCTTGTATAAACAGCACACAGCCCATCAAGCATAAAGCCGTCAGCCAGTGCAAACATTTAATTACTCATAGTTCATCTGCGTCCCAGTGGACCTTGAGTACTGATGAGCCCAGGTCCGTCGCTCTCACATCTGTGCCTCTGCTAACATGATTTATCCAGGGAAGCTCTCAGGAGTAAGAGGGAACCTACGCAGGTGCCACACACACACACACACACACACGCACACACACACAGGAACAGATGCGTAAAAAGCAACAGCAAGCTCCCAGCTGTTTTGCCTGCAGACGGTACACGGAGACTGTGGTCAATTACACCAGTTTACACATTACATGTCAAGAGGCATAAACTTTGCAGCTAGGGGGGTTACTAATGGGGGAATTATTTAAATACCATGTGGGCCTGCAAGGTCTTTCCTGGGGATGTATGTGTATGATTGTATGCTAGATTGGCCTTTGGTTTTGTGGTTTTTGATACAACCTCAAAAACATTACTGGTTACTCTTTGCTTGGATGATTAACTGGATTTATTGACATTATGCAGTTTGTTGATTTATTGTGTTTCATCTGAAAATCATTTATTTTCAGCAATAAAAAAAATTGGAAAAATAAGCCTTGACTAGTTCTCTTCAAATGAATCATGAAACATATATACAGTATAAAAAATCCATGATGCTGTCAAAGACTTAATGTTATTTTAGTTATGTCCCAGTCTATAGACATACACACACTTAAGCAGATGTAGCATTTTTAGAAGTTTTCAAATGACTGTATAACAATTAATCCAGTATTTATCATAATGAGTTAGGATTCTGGAAGGTTGTGGGTTCAACTCCCGTAGCTGGCAGAGTAGTCATATCGCCACTGGGCCATTGATCAAGGCCTTAACCCCGGCTGCTCCAGAGACTGTAACTGACTCTCTTCTCTGACCTCATGCATTTCTCACTTACACATCACTTTAGACAAAAGTATCTGCTGAGTAAAAGTATCAAAAGTGTAAAATCCTCCAAGCACTCATCAGGGTCATGGGGGGGATGTGAGCCTATTTCAGGCAGTTAAGAGCACAAGGTTGAGGGACACAGGGGGCAGTGTGTAGCTCCGTGGGTTAGCCCTCTGTACTTGTAATCAGAAGGTCGTCGGATTGAATTCCTTTGTCAGCAGGATAGTTACATGTCTGTTGGGCCCTCGAGCAAGGCCCTTAACCCCCCCCCCCAAAGAAAAAAAATGCTCTGGGGCACTGGATAAATAGCTGACCCTGCAGAAAACTAAATTATTCCAATGAACACATGTAAATCTAAAATAAAGCACAGTTTCATTTGTTTTAAATCCTGGCCAGAACATCACTGATTACGTCCTGTGCGTGAACTTATACACACAGTCATGCATTGTGGGTAATTTAGAGACACCAGATAGTTTAATTGCATGTCTTTGGGCAGCGAGAAGAAAGACACATGACACAAGCAGAACAGGCAGGAGCGGAGGTGGGATTCAAACCAGCAACCTGGAGATGTAAGCTACTGTCTCGCCTAGTATTTTCATTAACAACGTCCTTTTGGCCATAGAAATGTCAGTGACTGGATGTTTTCTTGTTCATCACACCGTTCTCTGTAAACTCTAGACACCGTAGTGTGTGAAAATCCCAGGATGGTGTCTGTTTCCAAGATGCTGCAACCCTCACGTCTGGCACCAACAATCACACCACGTTCAAAAGATCAAACATCGTAGTCAAATGATTTCCTGAAGCAATAAACTGGCCACTAATATAATGCAGAAATGTGTCCTGCTCTGTAAAATACACCACCAGAAAAACCAGCAGAAGTCTAACAGAACTTTATGGGGACTTCATGTAACCTTAAACATCTCTAGCTCTGGATAGAGACATAAAAACATTTAAGTGCCTCTACTTAATTCAAATAAAGGTGATTAAAGTACAGGCTAAATTTATCATGAGGAAATGAAGTTTAATTATGAAGCTGATTAAAACCCCACCAGATCAATTAACACTTCCTAATGAAAGGTATAAAAGCCCCTGTATAGATTTAATCCGCTCTTCACTGTGTCGTGCATTTTCTGTTCTCACAGTGCTGATACCTTACTTCTGCCGGTGAATTCATATGGACCTCATTTAAAGAACAGACCACACTGTTTTTTCTCTAGTTAGCTGCTTATGAAATGCTTTTGTCCAAAGTGAATTATGTAACTTAACAGTCGCCATATGTACGGTCTGTGTTTATGGCCCATTTTCATTGACCACTTAGACTGAGAGCGGATCATACAGAATAAAATAATGATACTCAATTCATCCATCAAGGGAGAGTGGGTAGTTTTCACATATTGCTCTCCATAAGACATACATGCTTGGGTGAGAGAGAAGCTTTAGGTCAGAGCACATAGCCAGCCAGAATCCAGCACCCTGGAACAGTGGGGGTTAGGGGCCCCGCCCAAGGGCCCAAAGGTGGCGCCACACTGCCGACCGCAGGACTTGAACTAATGACCTTCCGAGCAGCGGAGCAGAGCTCTAACCCACAGAGTCGCACACCTCCCTGCATAAGCATAAGTTCTTGACACGGTGCCAGTTCATTGTAACTCACTCACACAGACACGTGAATTTGCCTGAAGTACACGATTTGGAAGGAGACCAGAGTATCCAGGCGGCAACAATAATCACCAAAGGGGAGAGCATGAAGAGCATGAAGAGGAGCGCATGCAGCGCGGGGTCTAGGTTCAAAGACACACCCGAAAGATGTCAGGCATCAGCAGTGCCACCCGAAGTGTCACCCTCAAACAAACTCTCAGTCTCTCTTTAACATTCATTCAGTTCTGTCTTTTGTAAGAAAATTATCAAAATATCTGAGTGATTCTTGTTTTTTTTTTATTTAAAAAAAAAAAAAACAGTTTGTTATACTAAAAACCAGAAGTGAACAGTCAGGCTGCAAGAACTTTGATTGCATTTCTGACTGACATGCTGTGTTATTAATCACATCTAATTATGTATTTAACTTTAATGCATCCACCTGGGAATGTGATACTTTGCAGAGGAGTAATTTCATAAAATTCAGACCAGGTGCCCTTGAAATTAAATGACAAAGAGATAAAGAACTAGTAAGACCCAAAAGCAGCAAAAGTGCAAAAAAACACGACTTGATAGCTATATATTACATGATCAGATGTAATAGAGATGCAAGGAAGAGGTATATGTCTTCAACACTTAAGACATCAAGATTGGTTTAAGCAATCAAACTAAAGTATTCTTCTTAGTTGCTTAGTTACGAGTGTTATATGTGTTTTTCTAATGAAGGATTTTAAGTAGTCTTGGGCAATTAGGCTGAGGTCTTGGAGAACTGTCAAATCAATCCCTGGCTCTGGTTACTGGTTCATTATTGGTATTATGGGAACTAGAGGTGTCCTTCAAAACGCACCATTAAATTTGGTATTTCCTGGACAGGGAGAAGCTGCAGTTTGTAATTTCATTTTAGGAGGTGGCGAGCGAGGGCACTCCTGCTGGGAACCGCGACCGGGCAGCCCCCGGGACGCCCTGGGAAGCGGCGTGAATGAGGTGGCTTATCTCGGTGCAGGATGTGTGACCGAGCCGGGGACGGCGGTGCCCTCGTCAGCACCAGCAGCCCACGGTTCGCAGGTGTCCTGTGAAAGGCAGCAGGAGAAACTCGCACAGAGGTGATGCTGACAGCTGCCTTGGGCCAGGTGTGGGGACATATACCCTGACCCTGGGAAAGTGACACAGGCGCAGGTAGGGACCGGCTGAAGATGTCGAGGTTAAGGGCTAATTAGCACCACTCTCACGATGGGAAATCGCGTAACCAGCTGATGAACCATGGAGGTTACAGAAAAACACATGCGGCCATGTCAAATGTTTGCTATTGTAATTTAAATAGGACTTTATTGTAATTATTTTTGTATATTATCTGCTACCTGCTCAGAAGCATGATGACTTGTTAACTGGAGAGGTTCTTTGTTAAATGTAATATTTTTAAACTGAAGCCAAATTACCATTAAATTAAACGCATTATTTTAAATTTTAAGGCCTAAAGAAAAGCACTCAACAGCCACAAGGAAGAAGTCATACAGCGGCTTACAAATGGTGAGTGGATAAAACCAACAGGACAGTACAAAAGTCGCACGTTGTTTTATAACGACACTAATCAGCATGTTTCATTTTTTGTTCTATTTTCGCACGGGCTGCGTCCGATTGCGTACATCTTTGATCTGGGCACAATACACATTAGGGTGTTGTCGACAGTACCGTATCTGCGCTAAGGCTTGTCACCAGCCTTCTAAAATTCACCTGTCATAAACGTGCCCCTTTAATGCTGATTTTTCCCCAGGTGCGAGGTGTGTCCGGCTGTTGGTATGGGAATACTGGCACCCTCCCTTACGGAGACCTTCCAATTACTATCGATATCTAGTATAAAAGGATTCCAGGTAAAACAGCTTCTCGTACTACCGACAGCAAGGTCACCGCACGGAACCTTGGACCGCAAAAATATTTTTGTAATTAAATTATATTCTTTAAAATAAGAAATTCAAGCTATTAGTCTCGGAAGACTTACAGTCAGCTGTATAACGAATACTGTATACTAAAATAGGTGGCATAGTACTTACTGGGGTTAATATTTTTCTGATTTGCAAAATGATCTCAGTTCATTTTTATTTTTTAATAACGCTGAGCGCCGTTATCCATGGCTTTCCACAAAACGCAATCGAGAAGTTTATAAATAAAGCAAAAGACTTGGAAGCGTCCGGCAGCGAAGCAGACGAGCCCTTTCGAGGTATAGTTAAGGTTGTCAAAATTAGCCCCCATTTTCTTCGGCCGGCCAGCCTATTCAGGGCAACCAACATCAGACGTGGCCCGAAGCCGAGAAGTCCTTTACCGGCCTTTTTGGCTCTGGGGCGCCCCGGTCCCGTTCCTTCCGGAAAGGGGACTCTGCTTTCGGCACTGCCTAAGCGCCATGGGGACATCATCGACGTGGAGAGTAAGAGGAGACAAGGACTGGCGATGTGGCAAAGAGCGATGGAGAAAAGCAGCCAAGGCAAGGAAGGGCTGGCATTGCCCGTTAACCTGAAGGACATCTCCAAACAAAACTGCGCCGCTGTTCCTTTTCTCCAGGTAAGCTAGACACATTCAGTATTATTATGTTAATTATTATTAATCAACGCTATAAAGTGTACAAGATGGAAGATTACAAATATGGATTTGGTGTTGCTATTATTTATATTGTTGCCGTTGTTGCTTTGCGGCTGTTTTCGATTTAATTAACCAAAAAGGGTTTAATTAAGTTGGGATAATTAACGTGACATTTTTCTTCTGCACAGCGGGTGACAGAGGCAGGTTGTGAGACTGTGACAGTGCACAATAAATTGTGCTTTGGCCAGTGCAGCTCGTTGTATATTCCGCCTGGCGGGGAGTCCGCTGGAGCTGCGCCCGGCGGAAATCAGCGCGCCTCTCCATGCTCCCGGTGCTCCCCTTCGCGCTCCCGCTACGTGACGGTGCCGCTGCGTTGCCGAGGAACGACGCGGGAGCGCCAGAGGCGCGTGATGATCGTGGAGGAGTGCACGTGCGAAACAGGTCTGGAGGAAGGTCCCGCAGAGGGGATGGCGATCCCATACCTGAAACACTGACATTTCTGAATGAAAAGGGATTTCTCTTAATAATGGTGGCTTACAAAAAATTGGACCCACTCCCAGTGCAGACACCTGATAAACGTGCATTATCAGTAAGAAATGTAAACGCCAGAAGACATGGAAGCAAAACGCTGCCATTTTAAATGTTCGCAGACACGTGACCCAAAATATTTGGCTCATTAGATTCTTCGTTAAACTCTGATAACAAGTGGCCTGGCCCATACTGTAAATGTAGTGTCATCCAAATTGGATGGTATGTTGTACAATGTCCAATGTGGAGATAATTAAAACCTGTCTTTCCGTCATTAACAAAAAGGCACACCACAACCTGCAAGCACTGCCCAGAACAGCTGCAGTACTTTATCTCTTGCTCAATTTAATATTTTCCATCTTATATTGATGTACCGCTGTCATTGTTGTCAGACAATGTAAGTAATTGCGAATTATATATCTGATTCAAAACTGGCCTCTTCCTGTTGGCCCTTTTCTGACAAAGGCAGATGCTGCTGTGCATTTGAGCAATAAAATATCCTTTATCCAAGAGAATGCTTCTGTTCTCATTTCAACAAGACAGAAAACAGCCTGCAGAAGCCACGGTGGATAATGCAAAGTCATTGAGACCTATAGTATCCATATTACTGCAGGAAAGCCAGTTGGCAGGCCAGAACAAATACTGTTCTCTTACGAAAAAGATAAAGGTCAGCAGGGGAAAAAAACAACTATAACTGTCCAACTATATGAGTCATTTGGGAGCTGCCAAGATTCTGGCTTCTGCTACGCCACATAATCATCATTTTTTTGTCGGGATTCTCCTGGCTGTGGAAGTTGGAGGTGAGTATGTTTCCTAGATAAATTGCTGCCCTAATGCGGACGCAGATTACAGTTGCCATTAGCTAGCCGCTAATGCTACCAGCTTGGCAGCGCTTCCTGCGACGCCCACTCCATCTGGCTGCCAGTGCGGGCCGCAGTTTTCGAGCTAACTATGAAACGCATGAGTCATCGCAGGTAGAATGTAACCTCTCGCAAACGTGTGCAGATTAAGGTATGCGGCAATGTATAAACCTATACACCACCGTAACCCTTCATGCAGAGGCGCAAAAGACTCAATTACCGAAATATACACTTCGCATTTTACAGTTCATGTTGCATATGCGCAGGCCAAGCACCTGAATATAATTACTAGACCTCCTTCACTGCACCCAGCCGAAGCCTGGCATCTGTTGTGACATGACTGCAGTGCAGTCAAAGCTAAATATGAAGCTAATGCATCTAGCTACTGACAAATGAATGTGTTTAGCAGTTTCGCACTTGTCTAGTATTGTACACACCTAATAAGTGCCACCTGTTAGTCTGGCTATGTGCCAGGGGTAATTCGCATGCATTTTCCGCTATGCCACGTGCCTGAGCTATCAACAAAGGACACAGGTAGAATTTCCTGAACAGATTCCTGCTGGACAGTACATTGAACTACTGGCACTGTACAGCAAAAGCTGAATAAAATACGTTTTTTGGCACATTTTAATAAATCCCTCCCTTCCAGAAAAACCTCCAGGATAAACGGTCCAGGTGCTTTATTGAAAATATGTTTCCCCTTAGCGTTGAGTATTACTTGGGGGGGGGGGAAAAATCCACCACAGGAGCCCTCGCACACTGGAAAAAGCAGGGCATTTCCTACATACCATTAACCATGTCCTCTAACGGCTCTTCATACATCGTGATTACCATAAAACAAAGTAATAAACGCAATAACTACAGATGGCTGCAGAACACATTTCCCGTATATGTACTGGATAAGAGGTTATGGGTTTATGGAAAAAATTACAGATTATATATAACATGCACTAATATTTCATGAAAGTGTAATTTTATGTCGTAAGTGTAAAAGTTTTACACGGTTATCCAAATATTTCTACATCACACCTGTATATATACTTTGCTGGGATAATAAAAACCGAGTCTCGTTTCTTGAATTATGAAATGTTACTATAGATACAATCAAATATTTAAATTCTCCGGCGCATCGTTGCCCTTATCGTACACATCCGAGCTCGAGCTGTCTGCTGTTCACGACCCCACAACGCCTTTTCCGTCCGGCGGAACTGCTGCTTCACAAACCACCGCAGCACATTAGTGTTTTAGCTTTATGAACGTATGATTTATTAATTTCCTGGCAGTTAAAAATAGAGAATATTACTTGTCCCATATGTCGCTGTCCCTTAATGAGGAAAGGTCCTTAACATGGCTTGGCGCCTATTCAAAAGCATGGCGCCTAAATTCGTGTAGGACTCACAGTCCAACCATGTTTATGCATTAAAGCCAATGCTGGAAGTCAAATCGCAGATCTCAGATGAACGCAATTACGTTCTTTTTGTTTTAATTCCGGTCTGGAGAGAAACGTGCTTTTTGACTATACTCTTGCTGCTGTAATTAGCAGAAACATTTCCATCACATCTGCAGGCCGGATTCAAATACAATCAGGCACACCTGCCTCACAGAAAGCGATACCAGTAACCCCTCAGGGTTTGTCCTTACTTACCTGGCCGTCCAAGAGCAATGAGGGCACTTATAACTTGACTAATTAGACAACTCATTGATTTAATTAGGTAATGATTGGCTCAGGCCGGATGTAGTCGGAGCTTTTCCAGTTTTTTTTTTTTTTAAAACATATGCCGTCTACAAGCCCGCCGATAAAACGCTCGCACGCGTTTATAATTTGTTATCATTACACTATAGTGTTTGGAAATTAACCGTTTATTGTTAATTTTGTGCCGAGCCGAGGCCGTCCGGACACGCGATAAGCGCGCGCTGTGTCACGCGTTGCCGCGATGCAAAAACAGCCCGAGCCATGAGGACAGATGCTGGACATAGACACTAACGCCCAATCCCGTTAAAAGGGCACCAAGCCCCCCAAAAATATAATGTTAAAGCGACGGACGCGATTCCTAATTCCCATTTCTGAAAAGGGGCCTTTATTTTTTCTCTTTCCCATTTTTAACACCCCCCCCCCCCAGCTCGTGTTTTCTCAGCTCTTCTTTTATTCTGTATTTCTTTGCACAAGAGAGTGACGAAACAGACGAGGGCAGACTTCAGCATGGCTCTCAGCGAGGCAGATGTCACCCCTTTTGTGTGGCGGAGCCGGTTGGGGTTCTCCAGCGTCATTAAAGACACACTTTTCCCATGGCTGGGGGGAGGCAGCGCAGGGGGCTCCGTTTGGCCGAGACGCAGCGCAGAGCCAAGCTGCGGACTTCGGGGATCAAATCACCGTCATTCACTGGCAAATAGGCTCGTTAGCAGCTGAAATGGAAGTGGAAGCGAGCAAGCAGGCCTCACGCCTTTTCGGAAAGATGGAGAACATATGGGCGCAATTTAAGTCGAACAAATCAAAAATCAAAACACTTCTGTAGCCACCGACCTGCTGGATCCTGTTTAATGTGTCTGCCTTACTGCAAGCAGTGCTGGGAAATCACTGAAGCTCTCGTACGCAACAGTCAATCAGTTGAGCGCCTTGTTAATTCTATCCAGAGCAGTACGTTTTGCTAAGCTGTTGGTGTGATGCATTTACTGCTCAATTAATAATCAATAATAATAATTTAATTTGAAGACCCCGTGGGGGGAGGGTGGGGGGCACAGTGTGTGGAGTGGTGAAGGTGGCCGGGGTAGGAGAGGGACCTTCCGCCCCAGGCTCTCAGGCTGAAATGCCAGCGTGAGGTCGGGGGGCTGTGGCGTAGCGATAGGGCACCTTTCAGGGGCGGCGCGTCGGCACACAGGGCCAGCTGGTGACCGTTGGCATCGGTCCTCCTGGAGAAGCCAGGGCCCGAGGCACCGGCAGCCCCCGCGCCAGCGTCGGGGAATAGAGATAGGTAGGGGGGGGGGGAACCGCTGTAGCGCCGAGCTCGCTAATGAGCACGCCCAGAGACGCAGGCCGGCACGCCTGTTCACTCAGCCGTTCTGTTCATTTATTTATTTATTTGACGGAAATTTGTGTGTGTGTGTGTGGGGGGGGGGATACACAGCATATTAGTACAATTTGTAATGTTTTACCTTCCAGGGTGTGCAGGGTGAATGACGATGATTGTAATGATAATTACGCTGGTTTTAATTCTTGTAATTACAATAATCACGGGCGATGACAGCAACAATGCAATTATTGTGCTTTGGGGGGGGGACAATGGCGCCGGGAGTAACGGGTCCCCCTGAATGAGCGGTGATTAGCGCAAGCGCGGAGCCAGCGGGGATCTTGGCGCTGGCCGTGCGTCTGTCGCACGCGTCTGCCGCGGCTCCGCGCGCCTTAGCGACCCGCACTCCGCCCCATCCGCCACGCCGCCCCCTCGCTCCCCCAGCGCCCGCCTTTCCTGCTGCTCTATGTGGGTCAGTCCCACAGGGGGGTGGGGGCGCTAATTGAGCCGGGCGTCCACCACGTCTGCTTACCGGTATAGGACAGCATGGGATGGGGGGGGGGGGGTAGCTCGGTGGAGGGTGTTTGGAGGGCGAAAGGCAAGGAGCACAAACACGTTACACGTTAAAATACCCCCTAATCATGAGGCTGCCCCATATGGCTCGCGATTAAACATTTAAACCTTCCTTTTTTCTAAGTCTTCTTAAAATCTGCGCTTAATCTTTTGTCGCTGTGGGTTCTGTCTGCTTCAGCACTGCCCGTGACATTTCGGCAGGCAAAGTGGCAACGCTGCAATTGTAATTTAAAGAGTGGCATTTAAAGATACTTTAATTCTCCTTCAGCAGCTATTTTACTGGTTATTCTTCTGGGGTTGCTGGTTAAGAGAGTGGCCCAGTTGATATGTGAACTCACAGGAGGTTATTGGGAGTCTGTGACTGCTGTTCCATGTGTGGTTCTGTGCTCCGTAGTTTTGACGTATTGATTCCTGGACTAAAGTAGCTACTAAGTGACTCTTTAAAGCATCATCTTAATTAGTCTGCACCTGACACAGATCTGATTTTGGATTTGTATTTATGAATTTTAACAGTTTCAACTATGTGTTAGCTAATTCAGAAGAGAATCTTTGCATTTCTGTAAAGTAAATACAGTGCAGGTATGAATTTTGGCCCATAGGTAGCAAAGAGACAGTGTCCCTGTTTAGGCACAGCTCTGTGTGTTGGTGGGACTAAGTTAGTATCACATAATGGCCAGTACTCCCCGCCCCCCCAGCACATCTGCGCCCCTCTTCCCTGCATTCTGGCATTCTAACACCTCGCCCTGCAAACACGCGTAGCTGTGATGTTAAAATGCACGACCAAAGCAATGAGACGATTGATAAAACTATTAATGAACGACGATGACAAAAATGACTGGGAAGCAAAAAAAAAAAAAAAACAAAATCAGCGGCTAGCTACTAAATAAACACGGCGCGAAATGCCGCAGTCCAAGTTTGGCACCAGTTTCCGGAATTCTCTGTGCCAATCTTTGTTCAACAGGATAGGCTGAATTGAAAGGGCACATTCAGTTATATCTATAGACAACCATCTCCATCAGTGACGTCAATCTGAGACTGCAGAAAAAAATGCTAAAACGGGATGTGGATTAGA